TGTGTCTGTGTGTAGCTTTCCTTCCTGGCAGGGCTTGTGTGTGTGTGAGAGAGAGAGAGAGAGAGGGAGAGGGGGGGAGAGGGAGACGGAGGGAGGGAGGGGGAAGGAGGGAGGGGGGAAGGAGGGAGGGAGAAAGAGAGAGAGTGTGTATAGCTTTCCCTCCTGGTAGGGATTGATGACGTTGACTTCGGACCAGCAGCAGCACCTTCGGCAAAAGAAAAGGCCAGCGGCCCGGGTGATTGACAAGGCAAGCGGTCACGTGGCTCCTGTCACGCCACCTCCCTCCTCCGGAGAGAGGTCTGCTCTACCAGGGCGGGTGAGCGAAGGGATAATAAGAGCGCGGCCGCGCAGAAAGAAACTTCCCAGCGCAGCGGAAAGTTCGCGGAAAGAGTTCAATGCCCGGAGTGCGGGCGGAGGTTTTTCGCCTCCGTCAGCTACCACATGCCTCCCTTTCCCTTGGCAGCAGAGGCAGCCGGGGCCGAAGCCGAGATAACTTTTCGCGGAGCTCCCCCCGTCCCTCCGCTTCCCTTTCCTTGCCCAGCTCTACTCTCACCTAATAACAAAGGAGGAGTCCCGGGGGAAGGCCGGGACGAGCCGAGGGACCGCCCCGTCGCCACCGCCCCCTTCTTCTAAAGTTGAGCTTGCCCGGCTGGTGAGAGAGAAAGGCGCTTCCCTCCCTCTCTCCTTCCCTCCTTAGGGCGAAGCAGCCGGTGGAAGCGGAGCGGCCAAAGGGTTCGCGGGGCTGCAAACGAAAGAGCAGCCGAGCGCGTCGGGCGAAAGTTGGCTTTGCTTTTTAGCGACTTGTTTCATAAGCTGCGGCGGGGGCGGTTTGCCTGAGGCGGTTGCTTCTCCGGGGTGGGGAGCGCTTTGGGTTTCTTTGGGACGGTTCTCGGGGAAGCCGCAGCAAACCCGCCACGGAGCGGGACCTTGAGGATCGACCGTCCGGCGCATTTCAAAGTCTCTGCCTCCTCCTCCTCCTCCCCTCACCCTCCCGCAGGTAAGCTGGTGAATAATTGGCGGTGAAGGGAAAGGAGAAAAATAAAATAAAAGCAATGCGATTCCTCCAGGCGGAGGGCTGGGAGGACAAAAGGGCACCCGAAGAATCCAGTGCTCTCTTCCCAACTTCTCTCCCGCCGTCGTTACGGTAATTGATTCTCGGTTTGGGGCAATTTCGTTGAGGAATTGCTACCGGGGGTGAGTTATCTTCGCTTGGAGTTAAGCCAGAGGTTGGAGCTGAGCGGATTTCGCTGCCAAGTGACAACTTTTGTGGAAAAGTTTTGCTCCACGTGGGAACGGCACTTTTATTATTAATTTGGCTTACTGAGTCGGTTCCAGCGCTCCTTTTAAGAACTTCTCTGACTCTTTTGATTGTTTGGAATTCCTTTCCCCCCCTCCTCACCCTGGCTTCCTTGCAGCAAATGAAAGAGGGGGAGATCTTTTTAGGTTGTTTGTTATCCTTGAGAAGGAACCTTTTGGATGCACACAACTAAGCAACGTAACTCTTCAAAAGGCCCCCTTCCCTTTGGTTAGCAATCTAACTTCCTGCTGATACATGTTTTATTTAGAATGATCTAGGGAACTCTTCCATTTGAGCACATTTTCTGGGATTTTTTTACCTACCCGGAGTATTATTGGGGATGGATGTTGGAGACTGAGCTACCAAATGCAACCTGTAAAACTCCGGGAAGCCGCTAGTCAGCACTAAATAATCTCTTTGCTGCCACCAAGTCATGCCCAGATTTTTGTCGCCTTTTTTTTTTTAAAAAATATGCAAATAGCTTTCATTGGGTTGTGTTTTATGCTAGATAAAGTTAGTTGCTACCTTCAAGCCAAGTTTAACTCCTGCTGAATTTATGGATCTCTTTAAAGTTTTTTTTTTTGAGAGCTGGGGAGAGGTGACCTCTATTAACCTCTTGATACATAGTACATTTCTGCAAATCGATTTCTTGTCCCACTAACTTTTAGATTTCTTGGCATGTGAAAACTACTCTGAAATATTTATCAGGTCTCACAATAACAGCATTTGCATGCATGGGGGGGGGGGAAGGGATAGGTAACAGTCCTGAGAGTTAACCTTAGCTATGTCATTGATATTTCCTGAATTGCTTTAATATATTAGGAAATACCACTGGAAGTGCTGCTTCTGTTTGTGATCAAGTTGTATTGCAGCCTTCCCCAAGATTTCTCCAGAATTTCCTCAAGATTTCTTTGACTTCAGTTCCCAAAATTCTGGAGCGCACCAGATTGGGGAAGGCACTGTAAAGTGAGTGAAGAAAACAGCTGTTGCTTTCACTTGAAGCTGAAAGTAATTGCAATCCTCTTTATCATCCATCTTAGTCCACCTCCTTCCTGATGCATATCTGGAGGTTTTTTGGGGGATAGTCACTGGTTATTTTAAGGAAGAATAGGATGACCTAATCTTTGTTGCTGTTTTCTAATTTAAAATCCTTGCAAGTTCTGCTTGCAAGTAGGCTGGAACCTGTGTAGGCATTAACTTGCTTGCTGAAGTGGGCTTCTGTTTGATGGGAAGGCAAAATAATAATTTGAGTACGAGCTTGGCTCTGTTGCTAATTTTGAGGGGAGGACACTTTAAAATACTTTCTAGAAGAAAGTCACAGGGATACATTTGAATGAGCAACTGGAGTATCCATTACATGCTGTGTGCTTGTAGAAGAATGAGTGTGTTGCACGCACAGGTTGCTTGCAGAACTGGAAAGGGCTGAAAAGTAAATTGGATGGAAACCAAGTTCTGTGCAATGTGCAAAATCTGATTGGGATAGTTCTGCTTGGTAGCGGAAATGATCATGAGCTGAATAAAAGTCTAAATAAAATTTCTCTATCTTAAACATTATTTTCATATCTTACTATTTGATCTGTTTGCTGTTTCCCATTGTAGTTATATACTTATATTAGTAGAGATCTCCTGATTCGTGTTTTTATTCCTAGTATGACTTAAATTACCCCCAGAAATTCTCCACTCTCTTCCCAGCCCCACTGAACTTTACAAGGTGTAGTTGTATAAACATGTGGTGTAGAATCCATTCTGAGCCCTTGCAGAAAAGTATTAATCATGCATTGTGCCTTTGCTAGTGTATATAACTCCTATTTTATAGAGTTTAATAAATAAATGAACAAATGTAGGGTTGATAACTAGTGTTTAGTTAACTAATATCTCCCAAAATAATCTTGCAAGAATTATCCAAACTCCTCCAGATAGACTTTGGGATAGAGAGCAAAGTGCTTTCTTTGCAACATTTTGTTAGTAAGGAATCAATCCTGCCACTCTAGACAGTTTTCTGGTCTATAGACCTACCATGCTAGTGATAAGAAAAAGTGCAAGGTTGCACGTTTGTCTATACTTTTATAGAATTATCCACTGGACTCCATTCAGAGAAATAATTGTGTACAAATACACTCCATATATTGCATTAGAATGTATATGGAATACAGTAAATACGGTACGTAGTTCCAAAATAAGTATATTTATGTTTTTTGCATGTGTGTTTACATTTCAGATATTAATTTCATAACAGCCAAGAGTGTGAGTTCAGCATGCAGAGATTTTAAATAATTCTATATCGTGATTTTGAACTGGGAGAAAAAAGGATGGCCAAAGTTTTGGATATTGATAAAGAATCTGAGGGAGGTAACAATGAATTTAGCAACATCATTAAATCCAGATCTGGTAAGTTTCACTTGCAAGTATTTTTTTCCTAGGAACATTCCACTGTAAAAACAAAGGAAGTGCTATTTATTTGACTGGAATTGAAGGGCCAGAATGCATGTTATGTACAAGTGCATGATGTCCCTCTAAACAGGAAAAACTTGTTTAAGAAGGGTGTGATTCGAACAGAGGAACAGAATTGCAGGGCAGAGCCTTTTAACTCTTTTTTTGTCCTCTGTCTTTTTGCCATTATCCTAATTTCTGCTGCTCTTTTTCACTCCCTTCCAAACAGTGTCCCATATTTGCAGTCGAAGAATGTGTATTATACAGGGCTTTGAGATAAATTTCAGTGCTTCAACTGACTTCCAGTTCTTCAACTTCTTCCAGCCTGTGGTTTTAACAACAACAAAAGGGACATGTTACTGCATAATGTGGAGTTTTTCCTTCTCGTTCCTTTCTGATTCATCTGCTTGTCAAAACTTTTGTTAGGGACTTGAATCCCTGCTTCAGTTTGACAAACCACTTGAGGCAATTGTAATGTAATAATAATAATTACAGGCCTCTGCTTTTCTGTGGTTCAAGTCAAGTCTGTTTATTTAATCTCCTCTCTACTCCATATTCCAATTGCACTGGGTTTTATAAAGTGCCATATGTCCAATGTTGTCTTTATAGAATTATCTAGCAGCTTTTGCTGTTTGCGACTTGGAAAATGTACTGTGTGCACTATTTAATACGTTTAAATATACTAATGAGAGTAAAGGCTCTGTAAATCTGCAGGGCTCTCAACATATTGCCTTATTTGAGAACTGTAGCAATGAGTGGGGAGGAAGGTTTTGTGTACATTTTGGATGTGGGGGTTTCTTGCTAAAGGTTTCTCAACTATGTTAACAAGGTGGAATTGCTTAAATTAAAAGAGCTCAGGTGTAAACTTGTACCATGCAAGGATCAGCCTACCATAACTGACGTGCATTAATGCAGACAATGTGGTTTTTGATAAAATGCTTTTTTGATTTTTGAAAAGTAATTCTACTGGGTAGGTTTTCTGGGAATATCCTCTCCCTATAACCTAGGCATTAAAAACCTAGGCATTATTTTTCAGATCTTTGTAATGGCATAGTTGGGTTAAAATCCAGTAAGACGTTAGTACAAAGACCTCTTATTGTTTGAAATGGTTTTACTACCAAGTAGATGTGTGTAAAGTTCTCTCACTTCAATTGATTTAACCAGAAAGGAAGTGTTAAATTCTGTTTACAAAATTCAAAGTAAGTTTGTCTATCTTATTTATTTATAAAAATTATATTCTGCATCTTGCCATCAGTGACTCTATCAACCTTTGTGGATTGTCCTGTCCTCAGTTTATTTATCCGTTTATGTACCTGAGACATGAACTGAACCTTCAGGAAAATTTCTTAGGAAGCGCAGTAGCTGATGAGTTTAGAATGCTGGGCTGACAATTACCAGACTCATGTTTGAGACCCAGTTGCTGCTGCAGGATGGGATGAGCTCCTGTCACATGCTCCAGTTCCTGCCAAACCAGCAGTTTAAAAGAGGGCGACCAGGTGTAGATACATGAATACCACTTTGGTGGCCAAGTTTATGCGGATGTGAAAGTAGTCTCCATTGCCACCATTCCCCCAAGCAATGGTGACATCACCATTCAATACGTTCAGTCCGGAAGCACTTTGGTGCTCCTGGCTGTATAGTAGAAGAATTCCTTGATGGAAAAGTCCATAGTTTATAGTATATTGGGCAACAAGTTAAACACCTGTTGTCAAAATAGACATTTATATATTTGATCTTTATTCCACCTTCTTGTGCCAAAAAGTGTATTGAAAAGAGAAAGGGCTAAAAGTAAGAAATAGGTATGGGAATTTTTACATAGAAATAAATGTGTTCAGTATTCAACATTGTTATAAAGAAGTGATTCCATGTCTAATTTTTACTGTAATAATTCTCTTTGGTAAATTACATGTAAAAAACTGGCTGATTTAATAAAAATATGTATTTTTTCTAAGTTGTATATTTATGCTAACTTTTCTGAAGACTCAAATGCGCACATTTCAGCTCTCAGAATTCTCAATGGCTAGGGAATTCAGGCAGTTATGATCTGCACATCTGCAGAGTGTCTACATTGGGTGACCTCAGCAATCATTTTCGGCCTGGCGTTTTCATATATACTGTTTTCATAATTCCAGTGGGAATTTCAATGAAGTATATCTGGAGAAGACAACAAATTAGTGGATTATGTTCAAAAATTGCAGAGTAATTGTATCTGTTAACTTGAATAATTGATAACAGCAAAACTTCCTGTTGTCATAGTAGTGATCCCTAGAACTAATTCGGGCCTCCAGCAAATATTTAACTAGAGGTGGCTCAACAGAGAATATTTCTAAAACCAGGCTAGGTTATGGATCCAGCTAGGCCGGTATTGTCTGTTCTGCTTTCAACAGCTCTCCAGATTGTTGGTTCTCCTTTTAACTGATCTCTGACTTTTTAAATTGGATACATCGTGAATCAAGCAGACAATTTTGGGGGGAGCAGAATGGTAGCTCTGCCATAAAACTAATGTTGCTCACCAAAAGAAATACTGGCTTGAAATCAAATATGTATAACAATAAAAAGTCCTTTCTCTTCTGCAGAGCAGTCTTATCAAATACAGATGGTCCCTTGACTTTTATAAATGACTTTTTAGGAATGCAGGGGCTGAAGTGGGAGAAGGAGCCAAGAAAAACTGCAGAGTGAAAATGATTTTCTTCTCTGTTTTGGGAGCCAAATCATGATATTTACTATTAGTATTTTTCAAGCAGAACCTAAACAATAACAATCTCTTTGAAATCTCAGTATTATGACTTAGTGACATCACCAACAATCAAATGCACTTCTGGTATGTATTTTGCTATAATTCTGGTGTATTTTGGTACAGCTACATAACTGGGCTACAAAAATCCAGGTAGCTATAGGGTGGCATCACTGAAGAAGAGTTTTCTCTTCCTTTTGACTGCTGTTTTATAATTGTTTGTTTTAGGAGCTATAGTGTCCCAATAGATAATTGAAATTCCAGTCACTAGACACTGAATTATCACCCTTCTGACCATCTTTTAAATATATTGAACATTCTTGAGCGAATAGCAGAGTCTGATTCATTTCTTCTGAGAGGAGGACAAAGGAATATAATTGGGCAATCATCATATTTGGTTGATGAAGACATTATAGTACTTTTTTGAATAAAGTCTTCACAGAATGAAAACCACCAGACTCTGAAATAGTTTTTACAGTTAACTTTTCTTCTTGTAGCTATTATTGATAATATTAGGCAGAGGTGTTTTTGGTCAGCCAAAAGGCAGATCAAGGAATTGCTAGCTGTCTTAAGTGGCATCTAATCAAAAAGAAAATGGTTTTCTCTCATTTTGCTTAGCTTGCATTCCACTGCAGACTCTCTGCTAGACTATGATGTCTTGATAATGAATTTTTACATGAAAGAAACAATTAATTCTGAACAATAGCATACCACACAACACTGCATCTTTGGTCTCCCCCTACATCTGTGAAATTCCCCAGAATGCTCAAGCTAACAAGGCATTGTTGAGAATCTGGAGGTGGAAATACACACATCTGAAGTATGCCATGGTGAGTGAAGGGTACCATTTTGCCTCAGTGCCAGAAAAGAGGAAGTGGCCCAATCCAAGGTCAAAGAAGAAATCTTTAAGCCAGTATATTCATGTCAGAACCCCCTTCAATAATAAACAGCACAAATGTTTATAATTGTTGCATCGCAGGCTTGCGTCATGCTCATAAACTAATAGTATGCCTTTCCTTTTTAAATACAATTTATTTTTTATGTTTTGGTTAAATACACCAGTTAAGAACATTTCATATTTCCTAGAATTACGCCCTGAATAGTAACAGAAAAGTATTCTGTGCTAATAATAATTTATGATTCATTAGTTCATTCTTTTTATCTGTTCCTCCTTCCTCTGTCCACTCCTAGTTATACATTATATTAACACTCCTTTTTACTTTAAGGACAATTCTGATAGGATAGATTGCATTTTTTTATATGTAGTGTTTCTCATACATTTGACCTTTCTGAACAAGACATACTTTTGGCAACTGCATGCCTAGGACTGGGAATTTATGCAGTGTTAGCCGTGTCAAATGGTAATTGATTGCATATTGCTTGGATTCTTTGTAATAGAATTTCAGAAGAGCCTGCAGACAATTTATCAGTCAGTTGTGTAGAGTATAATCAAACCTCTTTATTTCAGACTGTCATTTCGCCTACATGCTGTTTGTATGTTATAATGGTCAGTTGGGATGACCTTGGGAGACGGGGAAGAGATGCTGCCTAGGGAACAATCAGAGGAGAGAGGCCTTAGCTGTTTACTGGGCAGGGGAAAAAAAAACTTCAAAAAGAAACGTCCCTAAAATATCAGATTGTAAAAGAGACAGCAGGTGATTTCTATAAAATGAAGTTATGTTGATCTAACTGTGTTGCCTGTCTGTTCTACTGGGAGGGCTATCATCGGTCTAAGTTGGATCTATAATATTTAGAGTGGATGAATAGGTCGTATGGGAAGGAGAAATGGAACTTTTCTAAAAGCTATTGACCACCCCACCAAAAAACAACCCCAAAACAAATGTTCTAGGTCTGGCCCAGGAAACTGAGGAAAGTTCTGCTCTAAAATGATCAAGTAATTGCTTAATCTAACATTGGGTCTGATTTCTGTGCTCTTCTTTTTCTTTAACACATGTACAGGACGCCCATATTGGACTAGATTCTCACATCATACAAACCTATTGGATAATTTGTTTAGGCTTGTCATGTGTGAAACCTGATAATTGTGATTAATAAGCCACAGTTAAATAAACCACAGAATAAATTGATAGGCGAACCTATAAATGTCCCTATATTTGTACTTTTCATATTTTAATCTTTGGGCTTCTGAACCTATACAGTATATGAAAACATATACTGTATATTGGAATTAAGATAGGAAATCATCTCATCCTCAGTAATTGAA